ACCCTTCGTTTAGCGAGCTTCGTATCTGCTCTCAGAATCCCTCTATGGAATTTAACTAGTAGAACCATGAGTGTCTGATAATTCTGCTGCAGGTTGTAAAGCGAAAATCAAAACTGGGTGCGCAACGAACATTGATAAATCCATGGAAAACCCAGAGAAACTTCAAGGCAGGAAGCAGCACAGATGAAAGTAATTGTAGTAGTAAGCTCGAGTTTGATCTAATGGTGAGAAATGTTGCTGTTTAAGATTTTAGCTATCGAGAATTTGAATGCTGCAAATGAACTAACGATAACTGTCCTGTCAATAGGGTAAACCAACACTTGAGAGTTTCTCTTCTTCCACTGGCTTCTGATTCCATTGTTACTAAAGATTATTGCAAGGCAAGTGTGGCTTTAATTAGCTTTTATTGTTAAGCATGTACCCAATTGGAGTTTTATAACTCTATCTTTGTTTCCCTTACTTCAGCGAGATAGTACGGTAAAGAGCAAAGAGAAGGTTATTGTCAAGAATGAGATGGCTCAGAAGTCAAACAGGAGAAGGTTAAAAAGTGAGATGGTTGAATCTTGATCTTGAGAGACCAAACCAGTATACTGGTTGAGATTCTAGCCTAAGATTACAAAATTTGTATTGGAGTCAACCTCAGGAGGTTATATCTGGTAATCAACCTTTTCCAAAATGAAGCTTCTACAGGTGATGATTTTCTAGGTTACAAAGATTTCATTGTGTGACTAATGTTTACCTCCATTCCAACTTACCTTTACCGGTGGCTGTAGAAGCTTAGGACTTGGGAGAGTGACTTCGATAGTGAGGGAAATTTGAAAAATAATTCCATGTCCATTAATGAAACAATAGATATGGAGATTATATAATTATAAATGACCATGGCATCTCATGGATTATTCTTTCCCATCACACAGAAACATGCTACATGATTGATTTTACCAAAATATTAAATCTTTGTATTGAACTATCGATATCATACAGTATGCATTGAGTTAGGTTAAATATTCATGATGTCGACTATATAATCTATTTATGTACTTAATTAGAGACTTCTCTTAATCAAATGATCAGGGTGTATTTTTGTGAATAACATTTCAGAGCTTACAGAGAAATAGAGCAACGAAAGTTGAGATTGATCATTATGGTAATGTGGTACGTACAGTTATTTGGTGTTTTCAGATTATCGAATGATCTAGCTAGAAGAAGTTTTTGGCCAGTCTGAAATCGAGGTGCTGGTTATCTATCCTCCAATTAAGCTCTTTCATTATTTTCCCCAACAGCTATAAGTCATTTGTTTGAGTTGATCATGGCTGGTCTGTAAGGGCTTCAGATTGACATTGACTTCAAGAGTTTCGACTTTACCACATTAATTACTCAGAAAGGTTTGTTATGATATTGGAATTTCTTATCCAGTTATTTTTAAATTTGCTTTCTTCTTCTACTGTTTGTTTTATCTTAAAACTATTCGATTTTTTTTTTAAAAGAAGCTCCGTGTGTAATGTGCCTTATTCTTACTTCAGGTTCGTATATATCACCCTCACATTTAGTCAATTAATATGATTCCTTACTTTGGTTATTCGTAGATGATACGTCATTTGCTTTAGTTGCGAAAACCCGACACAAATATTTCAAAAGAGAGATCGTTTGTTCTTTCGAAGATCATTTAGATCTTTATTTTCACTTGCACTTGGGTGTTCAGCTCTCTGTCTAATTGAGCTATTAACTTCTCTTCTTCCCTCTACATCATATTCTTAAATAATGACTGAGAAAGAAAGAATACAATAACAAGTCGGCACCATTTGCATTTCTTAAATACATCATTACCAGCTTTTTTATCAACCAGTGACTTGGACACTTAACCATGCTGAAATTTTTAGATTTTTTTTTCGTGGTGCTTCTTTTGCTACCTTCGTATAGGAATTGTTGTTGTCACCATGCTTCTGGAAAAATATATTTTTCTATTGAACGTCTTTAATTTTTTCATCAAATTATAAGTCTTTATAATTTTTAATGAGAAGGATATTTTAGTTGAAACTTAAGAAGGCAGGTGTTGGTGCATAAACATTGCTTCAAATTTTGTCAAAATAAAACTATATTTAGTTAGTATAATATGAAAGACGAGTTAAGGCAGTCGTCTTGGAAGTGACCAAACCGAATTGTGAGGAAGGTATCAAGTTGTTATTGTTGCTCAGGCTGAGGTGCAATATATTGTGAGTGAGGATGGTCCATGCCAGCCATCCGCCTTCGGAGAATAAGTTGGATTTTTCTAATCATTTGAGCCAGTGTGTAAATGTTATACGGAGGCTGAAAGTAATTATTTGGTTATTAACTCTAGGAATGAAAATTTGAATTAATTGAAGCATGTATGAACCATGAAGCCATGAAGGTTGAACGATACATGGCCACGAAAAAGAAAAGGTAAGAAATTCTTTTTTTTTTTTTGTCACTGAAGGTAAGAAATTCATTTTCCAATTTCTTAGTTTATCTCGAGTTCATTCAACAAATTAAACAGCGAGAATAATACTAATGCACAAAGATATAAATAATTCATGGTATTAAATGTATAATTTGATAATCACATAATTAAACATAAATTTTAAGATA